CGAAGCGTTAAACAGTTGCCCATAAGAGCTTCCCTGCTACGCTGAGCTGCCGCTAGCTGCGTGCTAGAACCGCTAGTGAGTTCAATTTGGAGAATGACGTATCGTGATTTGTTACTTCACTACTTTTGAGAACTGTGCGATCCCGTCCTGTACTGGCATTCTTCGTCCCTGCTTTGCTTTTGACATCCATATAGTGGTGGATAACTGGCAATTTACATTTGATTGTGACCTACAATGGATGAATCTGAGCCGTAGTGTCTGGCGTGACTGCTGTGGTGTACATTAGCGTCATCACGACCATTACAGTAATGCGTCAGCCATTGATGAGAGCAATTAGTGCCTTTCGCATAATGCCCCACGGAAACGGTCATTCAATGGTCTGCGTTGACCGTGATGCGCATTAGCTGTGGAAAAAGAAGTTGAAGAGATGTTCAGTCTGAATTATGATTCAAAAGTCTCTGGGTCCACCACGATCAGGAGTCCCAATTGACTTCGGTCCATCTAGTGGAAGTTCTTGGTGGGGAGGAACTGAATTTTCGAGGAGCAGAAAGCTGGTATTACAATTGCGTTAGGGAAAGAATAAGCTGAGTTTCAGTGGAATCTGATCCTAGCTGTTGGATTTTTCGAGTAGTACTCAGGTCTGTTTTCATCCTCACCTCCTTTCCCTCCTCTCATCAAACTTCAACATTCAACAGAGCGTCTGCTGGGGATTCAATTTCGTTGAGTCTTGTTTGATGATTTGTGATTGGTCGCTGTAATGTTCGTGTGATCCATTCAACGCCTGCTATTCTCATCAATTCACAAGCTGTCTACTCTTCTCTTAAATCCTGCGGCAATCTTGTGATTGCCGGCAGAAAATTTGACAGAAGCTTTTCCACGGTGTTACGTTTCTCATGAATGTAACATAAACGTATACTTTGTGTTGCATATAGTAATTCAACCACGACGGTAAGTTAGCGAGGATTTTCTGAAAGGCAGAAATTGGAACTGGGACGCGTTGGAGGTTTTACAGGCATTTAAAGTGCCCTGACATTTAGCATGTTCTTGAAAAGCGTTGCTAGGAACCCAATCCGACTACACTGCCCTGCTACATGACGCATCGCCCAGCCTCCGTCGTAGTTTGTTATGCTTGGAAAAAACTAAAGCATAAACTGAATGAAGGGAAATCATTGTGAAAAGGTCTTATTGTCGAATATTCACGATCTGTTATGAAAGTCATTTCGGAAACGCTTTTGTCTACTTCGAGTGAATGTTGGAGATATCACGAGATATAGTCCTGAAATCCTTTAAGGATTTTGAGTCTTAAAGGTAACGGGGCAGGAACAACGTAGGGCTAAAAGTTTTGGAGGATTAGTATATGACGATCCCACAGTAGTGTCGTTTGTTTTCAAACAATTTTTTTCACTGTCGTGCTTTGACAAGTGTTCTCTATTAATCGTTAGAGGTACGGCTGTACAGAGGGTATGTCTCGCTCTCACAGACCTTGAATTTTGGGCCTTCATAGGATGTGCAGTCGAAGGAAGCTAGCCTAACCGACAGTTGGCTTCAAATCAATTTTCACCTAAGAGAAATCGATTGAAGATGATCCTTCTACCCAGCCACGAGTCTAAACATTACGTTTTTAGGCTCTCCAATAGCTCGAGTCATTCCTTTTTCAAATTGTTTCTTTCGTCAGAACTCGTTGGCTAACTTCTACCGAGCTATTCTATCGTCTAATCGAGACCCAAAAATTCTTACAGCCGAGGCGTTGTAAATCTAGTGCAATGTAAAAAAAAACTATGTTATCGCAGCAGAGTTAGAAATGCATATCTGAATGGTTTTATAATCTTCAGGAAGGGGTGTGGAGGGGGAATTTTTGCAGTACATAATGTGGTCATCATCTCGGACTGGACGGACTGCATCATGTAGGTCTCGAAGTCGACCTAATTGGTACCAAAAATAAACAAGGTACATATGACCGCGTAAAGCACGAATAACACTGAAGTTTCAAACAAAAAATTTCAGTTCGAAAACGGCTGTGACTTAGCGGCTAACCAGAGAATACCAAATCCGAAAAGAAAAGCGACAAGGCTTTTCTTGATAATCCAGTGGCAGAATATCTAGGAAAGTTTGTGAATAAGCAGTAGCTGCATCACTGAACGATCCCTTCTGTTAGAGGTAGAGGTACAGCTGGTTCTCGGCTCGGTTAATACTCGCCGATAGGACCTTCCATTTTGCTGGTCAAAATCTCAACATGTTAGCAATGTCCGTAGAAGGAAGTTGTGGTTATCCGAATGGTGTTTGGCATAAGTAAAACGAGGTTCTGGGGAAAGTTTTCCATTTGGAAAAACACGACACTACTCAAGTAACAACCTGAGAAGTCAATTCCTCCTTCCCCCCCCCCTCCCCTCCCCCTCCCCATTCTACCTCCGAGCCTACCTCATTGGCCTTATTGGATGCATTTCTTTAAATTTCAAGGTGGTACTTTTCCATTTAGTGATACAACAATGTCAGTGATGGTGATTTAGTGACCACCCCGAGCAATATTTGTGGGGTCTGCAATAGTTGTTCTGAGTACAAAAGGACGGAAATTCATCTTTCAGAGTCTTTAAGACGAACTAGTATCTTTTGGATTTCGAATAAATGATACTCTTTATTGAATTCGCTGTCGCGTGGGTTCAATAACATAATAGGTCATTTTTTCTCAAGAATTTAGATTTAGGTATGTAACGCTCTTTTCATACTCCGTTCCTTTTCTGCGTTCATTTAGCGTTGAACGTGAGTATTTAGCCAAAGTCTCATGTCGATCACTGCTAAATCCGTCCAGTCCACTTTTCCTTAAGCCTCCCCGTTCTCGTAATCTCCTCCGCCACCGAGTGCGTTCGTCTCGTGTTTTTTCTGGAAGGTTCGTGGCGAGGTGGATGGAAGGCTTATGATTGCCCAAGTCGTATGTCATACGACATGGTCGGCCCAACAAGCGCCAATTACTAACGATGCTCGCATTACATCTTATTATGCCAATCGTTTTCCATCAAAAGCTGTCGTCGTAGGGCGTTCGAGAACGAGGACAGCGCCAGATGGCTGCAGCGGACCCCCGCGAACGCCTTGCTGCTACGGTAGTGGTGCGAGCGCGCCACATTACCCGACGGACTCGTTAAGAAAGGGAGGCGGCTGAAAACGGTTACCAATTCTGAATGTTTTCGAAATTGGGAAAGGGAATATCACTATATTATGAAACCATGAAAGTTACACGTAACAGTACTTAACTTTTTTCAGAAGTAACCAGCTACAGTACTTCTGCAAAACTGATAGCACCAGGAATTGTGGTACCAGGCACTCTATCGATCACCGCTACTGACTTGTTTTTCGATGCTGACGAAGAGAATCCGTTGTACAAAAAACAAGATCCGAAGGTTAGTTTGTATAAAAAATTCATTTAGGAACACCGAGAAACACATGAATAATAATGACTCGTATTGCTGGCCGTTTGAGAAGAAGGCCACTTTCGGCCAGAGGGGGGATTACTGCCTAACCGACGACTCGGTAGTTTGGACGACGATTAGAGTTGCTTGACAATCTAGTATAAATAGATTTGGCCTACCCGAATGTAGTATTGATGGCCGTGATTAGAATGAATTAGATGGGGAGTAGTGAAAGCACGACGTAGATGACTGAACAATTTTGGACGGATCACTGATAATGCGAGTACGAGAATATAATAGGGTTCTGGAACGTGAAAAAGAAAGATAAATCACGGTGTACGAAGTAAAATACGTGAAAAATGCGACTACAATGTTTCGAGGGCACGAGCATTGAGCATCAACTGGCGAACAAGATTCCACGCCATTTTCGAGCTTTGGTCAAGTAAATGATGAGGTTTGCCTCTTAGCAGATCAAGCTGTGGAAGGAAATAGTGCGCACATCGACGACATTGGAAGACAGCTCACCAGTTGCAGAAGAACACCTGAAATTCGCGTCATTGCTTGTTTACTGTAGCTCATGGGTCCTCTCCCCATGATAGTGGGTTGTCAGGGCGGTATGCAACGTTATGGTTAGGCGTGAAGAATCGCAAAACGAGATATGGTCTAATCGTATTACGAAGTTAGCGCCACGTTACTGTACAATAGGAGGAATCGCGTTGCATCACCAGCAGTGTCAGCAAATTTGAATGGTGAGGCAGCGAAGCACATGAAATTAGGGCCATATAGCTGGCTGAGCCATTATATACAGTAATGCAGAAAAAGGTTTACAAGGATGTCTGGGGTAGAGGGGTAGCGGATAATGATTTTTTGGGTCTTTTGCTGAGCTCTTATCTCAATAAGGTATGTAGGATGACAAGTGAACAAGACAGTCGACAGTTTATTTTTCCCAGTGCTGAAGTCAGCTCAGTCATCCTTTTGTTAGGAAGCGCTGTAACGATAGGGTAGTACGACAAATGGGACTGCCAATCTACACTGCGTCATCTAATTTGCTATTCATTTGGCATTGGCTCCTCTTTCTCATCCACTTTTTCCTTTGCTCACTACAAACATCGTCTGCATGCTGGAGAAAAGGCAGCAGTAACAACGCGGCGGCGGTGGCGGCGTCGACGGCTATTTCTTGGTGTTGATGCCCTTGTGCTAAGGAATGGGCTGTCGAAAGCAATAAATTGATGCGCAATGACACGCCACTAATGTTCTGACTCGGCTGACTCGACTCTCGGGAGAGATATCAACACTTTGTCAATGGGCACTACTTCAAAAACAGCGCTTCAAATAAATATTCTGTATCGACCGTGGTAACAACTATGGGCATGGCAGTGACAGCGCGTGATCAAGAGCTCATTTTTAGGGTTCTTTTCAGGTTATTTTGGTCCGAAAATTGTCTTGTAAAAATTTGACTCCGATAGACAAAGAATAATGGGTAGGAATGGTCACGATCCAACCCGGGCCAATCTCGTACCAAACCAGGGTACTCTCAGTCAGGCTTCTGGTATAGCAGTATAGGTTTCATGCGGTAACTTTATGTCTGCTCAATTTTCCCTAGTAAGCCTTCTGTGGGACATGCAATCATGTGCGGGCCAGCGTGGGCATCTTATCTCAAGTGCTTCTTCGGTAACCCAAAGGAGATAAACTGTCATTGGTTGTTCTGTAGGAAGAAATGAGGAAGCGCAAAAAAATGTTTGTGTTAAACATCGGAATAAATATGAAAAAATCTTTTACAAAGCTGCGTGGAGGGAAATAAAAACTATTACTGCTAAGTCGCTTTGCATTTGGTCAAGGTGCGGACGAGCGATAGGTTGGGAACGCATGAGATGGACTCACCGATGATTTGTCTCCAATTAAGATTCGTAATCATTGCAGTGTTTCTCACACTCATATAGCATTAAAGTTTTCAGAATATAGTTAGTTATAGGAGTACCAGGGAATTCGAGGTGAGTGTCGCGTAAACACTTGAGAATGCTGAGCGCTTTCCGTCGGTTACCAGCTGGAAGACGCAGTAATTTGCAAGGTGTTGAGAGTAAGAAGGTAACAGTCTTGACTCACCCAAAAGCACGTTTTCTGCTCCGGTGAGATTCATCGCCCAAGCGTCTCCTTCCATTGAACTAGCTTGCTTGTTCTGCTGAGCCGAGACCGTACCCGTTTCGCGACTTGTCAGGTCGAAACCCTCGTTTTTCACCTAAACTCGAGTTTTACTCTTAGAATCTCAGTTCGATTCCTTTTTGGGTGCTTACCTCGGCAGCAATGGCTGGATTAGGCCACGGAATAGTGTTGTTCGGCCAATGACTCGCAGATCGTGGCCAAATTCCATTGCATCGGAAAGCGCACGTGATTTGAACGACATATTTGTCATCGACACGTAAACGCACGTCGCTGGTGTCAGTAAGGAGTTTACAGTAATCTCTAAAAGGCAAAATTTAACTCGGAGCGTCACGAAGCGAGCAGCAGAAACTCACCGAAACGGAGGCTTCTCAACAACCTGTCCAACCAACGTTTGAAATCGGCTGCGAATCTTTCTTGCCGACAGATAACCGCTTGCTGTGATAAACTCCACCCATAGTGACATTGAACGTTTCCGTCCATCACTCAATTTGAGTACAGCACATCCTTGGATAGAACCGTCGTCGACAAAGTTGAATACACCCATTTGATTCAGGTAAAGTATCGCTTCGTATTCGTGGGGAGAATGAACGATCAACTAAAAAAGAAACGAAATGCAAATGACTAGTTCATTAGCGATAATTGATAAACATAACCATTCAGAAAAGGAGCTACCAAATAAGTTAGACCTACCCCATCATATCGCCCATTACTTTCGACTAAAGTCGAAATAAAACGCGGCTCTTGGCTTTCGACGTCCTTCAACACGTCCTGCACGACCTTGGCGATCCGATAGACGGACTTGTGCACGTGGTTCTTGCGAACCTGGACTTTATCATTATAATAGTTGGTAATTTGATAGACAGTGTTGGGATTGTGACCCAACATAAGCAGAGTTTCCCAGTTGAGCTTGATGGAAAATGGGGTTTTAGATGGATTTTGATGAGTACATCAGCTTAGCGTAGAAGAGATAAGCTGCTTTGCTAGTGCAGTGTAGTCGAGTCACGGATGAGTTCTTGTTGAACGTGAGTATAGGCGTGAGCTGTCGAATCCGGCTGGCGAGTGGACGGGGCGTGGTTGTTCTGCAACTAACGACAATCAATCAACGGTCGATATCGCACCGCCCTCTTTCTTGGCTACCTGCTCAATTATTTACAAGTGTGTCTTATGCGCGACGGGAAGCTGATGTTCTGCACATCTGAAGTGACGTCAAGAAAACGGGAATACGCTGCTGTGCAAAAATGGGAAAGCGGCGATAGCCGAATCCAGTTCATTCAGAAACGGCAGCCGTCATGCTTGGTTGGAGATCGATTGAGTATTGAACGTTTGTTGCTAAGAAACTTCGTAAAAAGGAGGCAACTCAATGAGGTAGCTATGAGTAAGGCGAATACGATTGGCTAGAAACCGGTTGAGCAGCGAGGCGGCCCACTCCTACCGTACCCCTTTGGTCTTGCACTAACGTTATGGCATCCGAGAACTCTTCGTTGACAGTTGCTAAGTGTTCGAGCAATGCAGCCAGTAGTATCGCTGTTGGAACATGCGATTCTCATCGATCGTGACGGTGATTGCGATGTTTCACGGTGATTTGTGTAATATTGCTCGTTCACCTTTTCGTATCATCATCATCATGGAGGAAATGAGCACCTCTTGAATTTTTGCCGTCATCATGGGTCAACCATTGTCAAGATACGTCTTACGAAAACGTTTGCAAACACTTCCAGACCATCAGCTAGTGCATAAATGGAAATAAATGGGCGCTACAGGATTT